TCGAAAAGATTCCGCGATTCTCAAGCAGGACAAATCACGATAACGTCAAAATGACGTTAAAATGAATTGTAAATGATTACGAAAAGACTTTAATGATCATTTTGAAGTCATATTGACATTATTTTGACGTTACGATGACTTGTTTCCGCTTGGGTTCATCATCTCTCGACATCTCTTGCGTTACGAAGAAATGCAAGCGTAACGAAAACGTCGAATATCTTTGTGTTTTATCACCCGTCTCATTCGCGTTTACCGTTGCATTTTAGTATTAACGCGATTCGTCAGGTTTACGTCATGCAAAATCGAATCGCGCGAGATCGACTATAAAGGTAAAAAAATATCACCGAGTCTTACGCTATTTCCTTCCCCCGTATGTTCGGCGGCGCTCAAAAATGCCAGAAAACGCGAGAGATTATACGGATATACTTCACATCCTTCTTTTTTTAAATTAATCTTTTAATCTTATTCTATAATTCTTAATGACTCTAACAATATCATTACAGTCATTAAGGTCGGTATTTACAATCAATTCTTATTTCAAGACCATTGCACCTCAAGAGAGAACTTAAGACTATTTGAATATAAGAACTGACTATGAATACTGGCCTAAAAGTTACAGAATACTTATTTTTTGTTTCTTCATGTGTGACATTCCGCGCATTGCCTCCTTCGCTAAAGATTTACACAGCTAACAAACGATCATTATATGCTTATAATACCTTAATTATTATCGGGAGATTCTCCTTGGAATTCTTTAACACATCTATGGGAGGAAAAATGCTTCTAAATTCGTTATAAAACAGCTTAGTCGCACTTTGGGAAACAGAAATCGTGTTCACAGTTTATCAGTGTAATCGCTCGCGTAATGGTTTCTAAATCGATCAGCGCGAATCCTCGTATCAAAAGTACCCGAATAATAGATCGAAATCATTGATTAATTGTACTCGTTAATTACACTGCCGATACGTAAACTACCGTCGCGTCCACCCGATGTACCTAGGTTCGTTTGTGATCAACATTTCTGTCGTCGAGTCCCTTCCTCGCCGATCTGCACATATGGGATCCAACCGAGAATCGCGCGATCCTTTCTCGTTCGTAAATCCGTAATGGCTTGTTGTGTTCTCAATTTCCTCGAAAAATTCTTAATTTTTGGAAAACAATCAACGGAAAATATTTCATCTTTTCTGTTTTTTTCTTAAAAATACTATAGTTGTTTATGCAACTTGTTGATACAACGTTGAAAATGCATATCATTCTCCATTCAATAAAGTAAAGGATCAAACACAATGAACAGTACAAGGAAAATGGAATTATCATAAGGAGTTAGAAAAAAAGTCAGAGTAGGACGAGAAAAATCGTATTGTCCACCTCTGGCTTTATTCTTAATAATCCTAATTTTATTATGTTTAATTTTCTATTCCTTATCCTGTTCTTTGTGTCTGGGTCCTAACATTATTCGCATCACTTAATTGGCTTTTTTTTTTTTTGTTAATAGCTAACGTTTAAGAAAAAGAAATTAATTCATAAACTCTAGCAGAAATCTCATAAATCGCGACGTTTTATTATTGAATTACTTACTTTATTAGAACATTTAAGAGTGAAAGAAATTTTAAAAGCTTTAAAAGCATTGACGTAAACAATAAAAAAGGTCTGATGTGCACAAGAATTGTAGTAATACTTAGACTTAAGTTGTAGGCGTATAAGTAATGCACAAACCTTGGCATTACTATAACGTGCAACTTGTTATCATTTCAAGAGGCGGCAATAAATCTACAACTTAAATCTAAAAGTAAACGTTACGACAATTCTCGTATTTAGACTGTAACGCTGAAATTTCAAAACAAAAATCGAGAAAATAACGTATATAATAAAACACAAAAAAAAAACATTATTCTTTTCCAAAGTTTCCAAGAACTTTGTTGAGATTAAGAACACTAGTCGTGGACGAAAAAGAGGCACGTGACTTTCGACGGGCTTCGCACTCCCGTAAATGCATCTCCGCGAGTACGTACTATCCGCGACACTGCACCGTGTATATATGTGTATGCTGATCGCGCGAGAGTGCGTGTTTAGTGTGCGTGGGTATTTTGTACAAGGTACAAACGCACGCGTGCCGACGCGTACATAGGAACATCGCTGTCGCACTTTATCGAGCAGCGATTATGTTTCTTGCGTGGCGAGTGAACAATACGTGAAAAATGAAAGTACCACTCTTTCATTTTCGCGAATGGCAATTAGCCAAGGATCAGTTTGGATCGACTTTAACATTTACATGAACACGTATGACCTACAGAAACGAGAAGAAGCAACTATCCCGCTCTCTAAATCCTCTGAAGTGAAATCTCACCCCAAAGAAGGGAAAATTCTGCCATTCTTTTTCCAAGAGTGGCAGAACTTTAGAGAAAAAGACACTTGTGTGTATATAAAAGAATACATATTTCTACATGTAAAATCGAGAGAGATGCACGAGGTATTTATATATATAGTTAGATGAAGTCGTAAGGATAGAAATGAAGAGTTCGCAGTCTTGAGGTCACTATAGGCATGTCGGCGCGCGTACGGTTGACTTTGATTTACGAGCCTTCGATCGCTAAAGTGTATCGCTCGACAGAGTGCTTTTATTTTATTTATTTTATTTAATCCTTTTTTTTTTTGCATTATTAACTATATATTTTTTTGGTATCTCGTTTCTTAATAGCATCGAGATTGCGCTATTCCTCCTTTTCACTCCGCCTCGTCTCTCTATCTCTCTTCCTCTCACGTCGTATAATCTTGGTATAATCTTTTAAAGCTTCGTTTGGCACGTATTATTAGAATGTTATTTTAGTTTCACGGAAGAATTCGATTTAGCGTTAAATCTCCCGCTCTCCTTTTTCTACCTTCTCCTCTCCCTCTCTTCCTCTTTTTTCCTAATCGCCCTAATTATCTTTCCGTACATCCCCTCTGCAGTCCCCATCATCGAATTCCTTTTTCCCCTACCTCTTTTTTTTATTTTCCCTCCTCCCCCAACATTATTATATTTAACACATTCATTTACAGTTTTACGCTTCGCTACGTCGTAAAATGTACATCGAGTATTTGCAGTCGCAATTCTGCGCAGCGTGTACAGAATATTATCATTATCCTTTCGATATATATATATATTTTTTTTTTCACTTAAATAAGTTCTCTTGTGCGCCGCAGCGTTTTTTCTTGTCATCTACTCTCCACGATGCTGCTCGCCACCGCCATCACCGCTCCCTTTTCCCTTCTTTCGTCGGAAGGGAAGCTCTCGATGCCTCCGGTAGCACGGCAACGACGATGACGACCGCAGCATCGAGAGGGAAAGTACCAATACTCCTCGGAGGAGTCCTGATGGTACCGGATACACGTATAATTCCGAACTCGCGCGATCTGCGCTTTCGATTCGAGAGGTATTAATTAAAGTGTTAGATTCATGGCAGTATCCACATCGCGTTACTTCTCTGTGAAACTCGGAGACCGGAGCTGCGTGCGTTTTGACTAGTACGTTAACGACCGGCACGCGCTTTCCGTTCCAACGCGACCGAGCCCGTATCCTCTTTTCCTTTCCCCTTCTCGATTCTCTCCCAATTTCTCAAGTCTCGGACGTTATCGTCATCCCACGTCAATTTTTACTACAACAAAAAGATTCCGGCGGATGACTGTTGAGATATTGAAATAATAATCAAGCTGAGAACCCTCGGTTTCCCCAAGAGTTTGCGATTCAAAAAAGCTTAAGAACCACTGCCTCGTTAAATAATCACGCGTCTCGATATAGACGATCGATATCAGTGTCGTCGAAATTCGAGATTATTCGAGAGTATTATGAACAAACAATCTCCATATATTCCTTAGCGAGGATGGGGACCCGTTCACGTCATCCGGTGTCACGTCATTAACCCCCCGACAAGAATACATTAGTTCGTGATTAATTCTTTTTATGCGTTAATGGACGTCAATGTAATTACGAAATGATACAATTACGTCCGAGAGAGAGAGAGAGAGAGAGAGAGAGAGAGAGAGAGAGAGAGAGAGA